CCCCGCCGCCCCGCAAAATGAGGTGGGAATGTAGTCAGTGTCGTGGGGGTTGTCTTTCCTGGTTCGGATCTTTCTTTCGTCATTTGCCAACCCTATTGGGAAAACTCAAGCCCGAGTGAAGGGCTTAGGTACTGGCATTGGCCAGAGCCCGGACTGAGTTCTGGCCAGGTTAGGTCCCAGCGGGAAGGCCCTGGTCAAGTGTGTCACCTGGCTAACGTCTCTGTGTCTAATTATTTAGCAAAGACTTCCTGTGTACCTACTGTGTGCTGGGCGCTGGCGGGGACAACAAACAAATGTCCTTGCCCTCCTGGGAGTCACTCGGAATTCACCGGTGCATATGAGGATGCTTCTACCAGAAGCATCTGGTCTGGGACGGCCATGGGGTGGGGGGCATGGGGCCTGCGGGTCCAGGGAGGCCTTGTTCAGGAGAGCTAAGGCCTAAAGCATGAGAAGCAAAAACAAATTTTAAAAAACCCAAACCAGCATTTACTGAGTTGGTTAGGAGTCCCTAATTCTCACTGGATTATTCTTAGCCCATCTTACAGATGAGGAAACTGAGGCCCAGAGAGGGGTCAGAATTGGTATGAGGCGCCCCACCCACCCACCCAAGCTGAGAAGTAACAGTGCCAAAGGAGTCCTGCCTCCAGGGTTGAGTTTGAAAAGGAGTAAAGCCCTGGTGGTGCAGGGGAATGCTAGCTACAGAGTCAGCAGTTCAAAACCACCAGCCGCTCCGAGGGTGACAGAGGAGGCTTTCTAGTCCCATCAGACTGACAGCTTTGGGAGCCCACGGGGCAGTCCTACTCTGTCCCATGGCGTTGCTAGGAGGCCGAGGGGACTCGATGGCAGTAGCGAGTTTAATTTGGCTGTTTCACGGCATTCAGGAGGAATGAATCATTGGAGAGGCCCGGGGGTGGGGGAGCTTTGGCCGTGCAGCTTCGAGGGGAGGGTGGAGTGGAACCCACGGGGTCTGGGGCTTTCTCCCGATGGCCATGGGAGCCACGGGGAGGCTTCCAGCAGAATGTGGCCACTTTGCGCTGTCACTTATTCGACCTGTGAGCTTGGACAAGCCCGTTCACTTCACTGCGCCTCAGTTTCCTCCACCTGCAAGATGGGGGTGATGGTAACTTCACGCCCCCCACCCCCAGCTCTTCCCAGACTGCTGGTACAAGCTGCAGCCAAAGGGCCTGGCATATGATAGGCTTTTACTACGGCCAGGAGGCCAGCTGTCGCTCTTAAAGCCCAACAGAGTATGAGTTATACATAAGTCAGGGCTGGACCCAGACAGCCTTGGATTAAAGTCCAGCCCTGCCAGTGACTGAGGAGCCCTGGTTTGCACGTTGGGCTGCTGCTAACCACAAGGTGAGCGGTTCACACCCCCCAGCCGCTTTAGCTGGAGGATGATGGGCTGTCTGCTCCCGTGAAGAGTTACAACCTCAGAACTCTACAGCAGCCGTTCTACCCGGGCCCTTAGGCTCTCTCGGAGTCCAAATGCACTGGACAGCAGGGGCCTTGGGCGCTGGCTCTGCCAGTGGTGGGCTGGGGACCTGGTGACCCAAGTGGCCTTAAAGGTCTCCCCACTTGAAGTGGAAATGGGAAACCCAGAGAGGAAACGGGGTGAGTGCTGCTGCACTGTGGGGGGGCCACCCCGGCAGGGGCAGGAAACAGAAGGTGGGTGAGGAGGTACTGAGCGGAAAACAGATCTGCTCTGTAGCCCTGCCCCCCGTTCACAATAAGACGTTTCCAACACAAATACAATCAAGGAGGGAGGACCGAGGGCGGTCGAGAGGATTTCCGGAGCCGATACCCATGACGCTCTGCGGTCTGAGCCGGGCACAGGCAGATGGACGGACGGCTTGTCTTGCCCCAGTCGTTATTGCTTCCCCTGATGGGGCCTGTATCTCTCATGGGATTAACTGAGGCTCACTGGCGTGAGCAGCATCACCCAGTACCAAAATTCCTTGTTTTCCCTGCTGCCCTGGGCTATGGCAGCCCGGGGCTTGCCTCCGGGAAGATGCATTCATTCATCCACCACTCCTGTCAGCAGCTCCCGAGGCCCCTCAGTCCCAGACAAATCCAAACTCCATCCCTGGCTCCACTGTGTACCAGCTGCTCCCCCATGGGCCCCTCCCGTCCACATCTGTAAAAAGAGGGCCGTCGTAGCAGCAGCCCTCTCCTGGAAGCCGAAGGCAAAAGACCATTGGGTACATCGGCTGCGCTAGACCTCCTTCGTGTTAGCTATCAAGGATGTCACTTTACAGACGAAGGTGCGCCTGACCCAAGCCCTGGTGTTTTCTATCGCCTCGTACGTAGCTTGGGAAGTTGACACTGAATCCGGCAGACCAGAAAGAATGGATGCGCTTGAATCAGTGTTGGTGAAGAGTGGTGGAGGTGCCCCAGGGACTGCCAAAAGAACACACCAGTCTGTCCTGGGAGGAGGACAGCGCAAACGCTCCTCAGACGCTGGGCTGGGGAGACTTGTCCCCCATGTCCTTTGGACATGCTCTCAGGGGACACCAGTTCCTGGAGAAGGACATCGTGAAAGAGGGAACCGACTACAAGGATCTACATGTGACCTCCTCCCTGGGGGACGGACAACAGAAAAGTGGGGGAAGGGAGACGTCGGACAGGGCAAGATATGACAAAATAATAATTTATAAATTATCAAGGGCTCGTGAGGAAGGGGGGAGAGGGGAGGGAGGGGAAAATGAGGACCTAATGCCAGGGGTTTAAGTGGAGAGCAAATGTTTTGAGAATGACAAGGGCGATGAATGTACAAATGTGCTTTACACAACTGATGTATGTATGTACGGATTGTGATAAGAGTCGTATAAGCCCCTAATAAAACGATTTTTAAAAATAAATAAATAAATGCAAAAAAAAATACAGTGAACCCTCGCCACTTCGCGCTTCGACTTCCGTGGCTTCACTCTATCGCGGTTTTTGCGTAACAGCGCATGCTCTGTCATTACTGCCACTGATTGGCTCATACTGTACACGCTTGATGCCATAAATAATATAATAAATAATAAATGATAATTGTAACGTCCAAAATGTTTTACTGTATTTTCTCTTTTTCGTTTAATAAATTGGGTAATACGAGTGTAATGGTGACTAAAGGGTGTTTTTTCATGTCCTCTATGCTCTAACTACGAAAATATTTGATTTACAAATAAGGAATCCTACTTCGCGGAATTTCATTTATCACGGTAGGGTCTAGAACCGATTAACCGCGATAAACGAGGGTTCACTATAAAATAAATAAATAAAAAGAGAGAAGGGCATCGTGCCTGGGACAGTGGAGAGCCAGCGACAGAAAGGAGGGCCCTCAGCGAGCTGACGGACACTGGGACACGTTTTTCATGGCCACGTGTGCTCTGAAACCTGGGGCAGACCACGGCACGGCTCTGTGCCTCTAGTTACTGCCGAATCTGTAAAACGGGGGGCTGGAGTGGGGCTGGGGGTGAAGTCCTACCCCCGCAGGCACTGAGAGGGCACGTGTATAAGCACAGGTCAACCCACACAAAAGCGCCACAGCGGTTTCTGACTGAGGGAGAGGCCGGCCGGTCCACGGTCTTCCATCTCATCCATGTCACGATTTGAAAGCTGTCCCTTGTGTCCACTCCTGTGACCTCGATGGCCATACCAGAGCCTCGGATGCACAGGCGAGGAGGCCGGTGCTGGGTCGGCACCAGTAGGCACTCAGTCACGCTGTCATCGGCAGCACTGGCCTGCACCTTTGACCTGGGTCAATAGTAGGCTCACAAGCCCTCCTACCAGGCAAAGGCTTTTTTGCAAGGATCCCCAGCGGGGGGCATCCAGGAGTCCCCAGAGGGACCTGCCCACTTTACTCACCCGGATACAGTGGCTCCTGGTCGCTCCTGAGTAGCAGGGTCACTGCAGAGAAGGTAAGGTGAAGGCAGTGGGCTGGGGGCGCCATGGGGCCATGGAAGGTAGAGGCACAGGGAACCACTCTCACCAATGGCCCAGGACGCCGCCCCGATGCCCATCAGGAGCAGCAGGGTGCCCACGGTTAGAGCGGCCACCTTGGATCCGGAACAGCAGGGTACAGTCCGGCCACCTGCAATGGACACCATGCTGGGGCCACTGCCAGCCTTGTCTTCATCCGCAGGGCCTGGGCCTGGGGCCAGCTCTGCCCTGCCCCTCCGCCCTCACCCCAGCCTGCCACACGGAGAACCAGGTGTCTGGCACCCCAAGGGGTGTCCAGCTGGGAAAGGGGCCCGATTAGGACAGCTGCCAGCTCCCTGCCTCCTCTCTTGGCACGTTGCTGGCACTTGGGAGATTTCTCGTCCCCAATGACATTGCACTTTCTGTTGCTTGGTGCTGCCTCTCCTTGGACCCCTTTTTTGCCTTTGGTCACTCCCCCGAGGGTTCTGGGAGCCTCTTTCTCCTGCTGTCTGGCACAATCCCACGGCCACATTTTAGCCTGCTATACTACACCCTCTGTCCGTGGGTCCTCCCTCCCACCCCGATTAGCTTCAAGATCAACTTTCCTTCTGAAGGCTGAGGACCAGAGGATGGAAACCGGCCAGCCTTCCTTCAAAACACTGGCCTCCCTCACTCTCTCCTGGCCGGAAGGAGCCTTAGTGGGTTACGGGTTAGGCTGCTAATCATAAAGCCAGCAGTTCGAAACCACCAGCCACTCCCTGGGGAAAAGAGGAGGCTTTCTATTCCCACCAAGCGACCGTCTCAAGACCCAAGATGGCTGATGAAGGACCGTACAGAAATCCGCAAATGTGGAATGAACAACTCCCATCCCATCCAGGTGGATGGAGCTGATTGAGTGACTCGGCTAGGGCTTGTTGTTCCCGGCAACCTTCCATATGACAGGGGGCCTTCAGGATGGAAATCAACTTTGCCGCAAAGCACCGAGGGTCCCCTTTAAAACGAGGGTTTTCCATGGGAAGACATCAACCAGAAGGGGCGGGTCTGCCTGCCCATAATTACCGGCCAAGCCATCCAGCGCTCATCGCCCTGGGGTCAGCGGCACCCACTCCGGGCCGACCAGGCCGAAGAACACTCTTAAGGATGGTGAAAAAAACACTCTATGGGAAAGCCAAGGGTTTACAAGGAAACACAGGGAAGCCACCCGCAAGCTGCAGTCTGCCGCAACCGATTCCATCGAGTGTGAGCAGAGACCCAGCAGTGCATTCAGACACCCCCCACCCCCCACACACAAAGCAGGACTCTGGAGCACTAACGCATGCGCGTCTGCCTGTGGCTGCCACTGACCCCACGGCTCTCTTAATCAACAGTCTAGTGGCCTGTCGGGAAAGGATTAAGACGTACCATGTTCTCCCTACACAACAAAACGACAGTCCCAGAAACGCACGGGGCTGGGTCCACTCTGTCCTCTCGGGTCGCTGTGAGTTGGAGCTGACCCCACGGCAGGGAGTGTGGGGCTTTCTTGCCCTGGGACCTTAGGCCGGGGCTTTCACCTCTCTGCGCCTCGGTTTTCTCGTCTGGTCCCCACCTCAAGGTTCTAGCTTGTCCTTATAAACCCCAAACTCTCACCCGTTGCCGCCCATGTGGCAAGCCCGGCTCGGAAGGCAGGGGCTCAGCCCTTACTTCAAGCTGACACTGGGATTCCCATTTCCCAGATTGGGGAAACTGAGGCTCAGAGATAGGGCTAGCCTGGATGATTTGTTCAGGAGGACGCAGAGAGAAGGGAGGCCTAGACCCTGGCAGATCTGGGTAGCGGGTCCCAGTGTCTAATCAAGAGACAACCCCGCCCTGTTCTGCGTCGTCTGGTGTAGCGTCAACCCCCAGCCAAACCCACTGCCATCCAGTGCAGGCCGACTCACAGCGACCCTCCAGGACAGGGCAGAATTGCCCCTGTGGGTTTCTGAGAAGGTAAATCTTTGCGGGAGTAAAAAGCCCCATGGTTCTCCCCCATTCTATGAAGGGGCTTCAAAAGAGCTCATGGAAAAAGATTGTTTTTGATATTGCATTTTTCCTCATGAGCTTTGTGGGGCCCTCTTCTGAGCTCTGAGGAGCCCCACGCAGGATGGACAGAACTGTACGCCCCTGTGCGCCTGCGGTTCTCCTCCTGTGTCTCCGCAGGAGGTGAGAGAAGTGGAGACAAGCGGAGGAACCAGTCATTTCTAGGCTGTGCTAAAGGCTACGGAGAAAGGCACTTGGGTGGGGGAACTGGGCAGCCGGTGGAGCTTCTGTAAGGTGGGGGGTGTCAGGGAGGATTTCTATGAAGCAACTTCTGAGCTGGGCCACCCCCTAGGGACACATCAAAGTAGGCCCTGGGGCAGGAGCAGGCTAGCGGGGCTAATGGATGGTGCATGGGCAAGGTACCACCTGGGAGAAGTGGGGCCCTGAGGATCAGAAGCCAACCATTTGGCTAAGGATTGTGGGAAGGCTGAAGCCAAAAAAAGGCAGGGGGCTAAAAGCCTTCAGCTGGGCCTGGCATGGGTTCACCTGCCCTTGGCATCTGCAGGGGCTGCAGGGGCGCCCAGCTCTCTCCTTTGTGACTGTGGAGTGTGGCTGGCAGGCACCGGGCCAGGCCAGTGCCCAGAGCAGTGTGGGGAGGAGTCCAGGGCCTTCTTAAAACAGCCAGTGACTGGGTGTCTGAAGAATGTGAGACTCTAGAGCCTCGCATGGTGGCCACAGGAGGACCCAGTGGTCAGCCCGGCCCAGTCCCTGCTGGGTGACCCCTGGCCTTCTTGGGAGGTACTCTCAAGTTTGCCGCCCCAAGTCTTCCCCTAGCATCTTCCTGGCCCCATCTGGGCATCTTGGAAAGCACTCTCAAGTTTGCCGCCCCCCCCCCCAAGTCTGCCCCGTAGCACCCTCACCTCAAAAGGCCTTGCCAGCAACGGGGCTGTGACCAGTAAGCCAAGCCCTCGCTCCCCCAGCCTCACTTCTCCCTGTGTCTTCTCTTGTGGGAGAGCCACAAAGCCCCTCACAGGTGAAATCCTGGGCTCTGTGTCCGAAAAAGTCCACTCAGTGTTTCCATGTGCATGCCCTGAGCCACATGTGCCAGGGGCCCAGCGCCTCCTCGGGCTCTGGGAGCACCACGTTCCTGTTCTATCCTCAGATGGCACCTTCTCTGCCCCTCCCTTTCTCCCCACTCCAGGGTGCGGGTCCCACCTCCTGCCCATCACTCCCCCCACTCCCCCGGAGGCACCAACCCCACTCCATAGCTTCACGCTCTCCTCTCGGTTCCAGCCCTGGACTCTCTCCTTGGACCTCGGGTTCCAAGGCAGCCGGGACAGGTCCCCCTGGATACCCCCTATGCCTTCCACACCCACCAGTCTCCATGCTGGCTGTACCTCACCGAATCGGTTTTTCTTGCTAGGTCTCATATCAAGTACGCTGGCCTGCAACACTGTCCCTCCTTCTCAGGACACCCCTCCCCCAGCTTGGCCATCAGTTGGTTTTCTCGTTCCCTGCCCCCAGCTACACCAGGCCTCAGCCTTGTCCTCTGCTCCCTACTCCACATGGAAGTGAAGGAGATCTTCCTATAAACCACAGCCAACCTCGCCCCTTCTCTGCCTAGCACCCTCCATGGCTTTCCACGGTCTCTGGGACCTAGCCCAAAGCCCTCAGCCGGGCACGTCCAGCCCCCGGTAAAATAGAGCGGGACTTAGATTTGGGGTTGAACACGCTACTGCTGTTGTCAGGTGTCCCGGAATCGGTTCCGACCCAAAGCAAACCCGTGTGCATCAGAGTGAAACGCTGCCTCGTCCTGCGTCATCCTCACAAGTGTTCTTGTGCTGGTCGCAGCGACTGTCAATCCATCTCGGGGAGGACCTCCTGCTTGTCACTGCCCTCTGCCTGACCAAGCATGACGCCCTTCCACGCACCGGTCTCTCCTGACAACACGCCCACAGCACGTGAGACTACGTCTCTCCAGCCTTGCCTCTCAGGAGCATGGTGACAGTACTTCTTCCAGCACTGATTTGTTTGTCCTTTTAGAAGCCCATGGTACTCTGAACATATGCCACCACCACCCCACCCCACCCCCCACCCCCCGCCAAATACCCCAAACTAAACAAGCAAACAAAACAAAACACGCAAACGTGTGGGTCATGATCAGGCACCTTACCCAGAAACCAAACCAAACTCACTGCCATCGAGTGGATTCTGACTCACAGCGACCTTCTAGGACAGAGTAGAACTGCCCCCGTAGGTTTCCAAGATGGTAAAGCTTTAAGGGACCAGAAAGCCTCATCTTTTCCCCCCAGAGCTGCTGGTGGTTTCGAAGTGCTAACCCTTGCAGTCATCTTCCAAAAAAGCATCCCCGCCCACAGAACTGGCTAACACAAGGCAGCCGGGTACCCAACCGCCAGCGCCATCTTGTGGAGAGACCCGGCATGGCCCGGGAAAAGCAATCGCCCTGGGTGGAAACAGCCTAAGGGGTGCTCCGGCCTCTTACCTCCCTCCTGACCCCGCTCTCAGCTTTACCTGGAGACACACCACCAGCAGCCTGTCACCTCTCCGATTCTAGCCATACTGTCCTCCATGCAGGACACACGTGATTCCCGCCACACTCCCTACTGGAGTGTCAACTCAGATATGACCTTCCGTTCCAAGACCCCTGGTAGCTTATGCCTCGGACTGCTCACCACTAGGCCAGCAGTTTGAAACCACCAGCTGCTCCCCAGGAGAAAGATGAGGCTTTCTACTCCCATAAAGTGACAGACTAGAAAACCTATCGGGGCAGTTCTAGAGGATGGCGGTAAGTGGGAATTGGCTCGATGACTGTGAGACTGAGGTAGCACCAGGCAGCTCGCCGTGGGTTTGTGTCTGCGAAACTCCAGCAGCAGCAGCAGCAGCAGCAGCAGCAGCCTTGGCCGTCAGGATTGCCTGTCAGCCCGCAGCCCTGTCCTGCCCTAAGGAAGCCCCCTTCAATATCACCCTTCTCGGTTGGCCTTGAGCAAAAAAGGAGGGAGACCCAGGGAGGTTGAGCGGCCTGCACCAAGTCACCCGCCAGCTCAGGGCAGCATCAGAGCCTTGGAGCGTCTGTGTCCAGCTGGGGCGTCTCCCATCCTTCTAGAAGCAGCCCATGCTACCCAGGAGCACACGAGAGCCTGCTGTGCCCCTCTGCTTGCCTTGTACCCTGGCCCACTGCTGTCCCCTCCCGGGGCCCTATCCTCCTTTTCATCCCTGGTTTGTTCATCTGCAGGCCCCTGTCCTGGTACCTCCCGCAGTCAGCTCCAGGAAGGAAGGCACCCGAAGGTGCCACATGTCCCCTCGGCCAGAGGCTGTTCCTCTTCCCAAGCAACGGGCTGCCTGAGCTCACTCTGGGCCAAGGCTACCTGGTGGAGGGTTTGAGGGGACAGCCATGCTGGGGCCAAAGGAGGCCTGAGGGGGCCGGAGAGCCATACTCATCCCGGGGGCCACCCTCCTGTACTTCCCGCGTCGGCTCCCATTTGAATTCTCAGTATCTTCTGCGGTGTGCGGATGAGGCCGCCAAGGCCCAGAGGATGGAAGTGGTGTGCCCAAGGCCATGCAGCTGGCAGCAGTCTGGCGTGGAGCTGACCCGGATCACATAATTCCAGGAAGCGGGGAAGGAGGCTGCCCGGCTGCAAGACAGGCAGGCAAGGCTGCCCCTAACTTGACCTCTCTGGTTGGTGGCCTGGGTGGCAAAGATGCAGGGCATCTGGTCACCTGGAGCCCCGCTTCAGAAGTCCCGCAGACTGGCCTCTGGGTCAGGCAGTTTCTCCGTCATCTGGGGTGACTCCCCCTCCATCCAGGCTGGGTCCAAAGTCTGCCTTCTGCTCTTTTGCCCACAGGGCCCAGAGGCGGGACAGGGTCTAGACTCGTGGAGGGTCCTGGGCTCCTATGCGCCAAGTTCATCCACAGTCCACTGTCAGAACCGCTGTGGTTCAGTGCCAGCAGTGTGTGCTGGGCTGCTACCTGGTGGGATCTGTGCTCCCAAGGCCGCAGTTAGTGGTGTCAGGAGCCCCACTTGACCGAGGGCAAGAGGGGAGCCCAGAGCAACGAAGCTACATGTCCAGGATTGCACGGCAAAAGCACACGCAAGAGAGGATCCAAATGCACCCCAAATACTGACCGCCACCCCATGTTAGCCTCAATGAGAGGGCAGGCCCAGGGCCAGCTTATGAACCCTTAGGGAGTGAGGGGAAACCGAGGCCCAGAGCCAGGAAGGTTGCATGAGGGATTGGGGAGGTAGGTGGAGGTCCAGCTACGCAGAAAAGGTGGTTAATTATTAACCGGGTAGACGAAGCTTCCCAAGGGGGTGAGAAGAACAAGGAGAGGGGTGCCCAGAGCAAGGGGGCACTGAAGGGGTGAAGGGCTGAGAACACGGTTCAGAGGGCGGGGCTTCAGGCAGAGACACCATGGGGGGCTTCGGGGGGAAAAAGCACTTACCTTCTTTCTCCGCCATGTCCCGGACTCTGGTTAATGATTCCCGGGCTGACCTCCGGGGCCGGGCAGAACCTGCGGGAAGAGGGACAGGGAGGCAGGGCCTGGTGGGGGTGGGGGGGGCAGCCCAGCCCTAGCACCCCCAGGTCTGGCACCCATCTAGGGAGGTCCAAGGCCAGGCCCCGGCCCCAGCCCTAATGCAGAAGGAGATGGGCTCATGGTTGAGCCCTGTGTCTTGCGCAGGACAGGGCGAGCCCTGCATTCACAAACCTGGGGGGCCCTGCTCCTGGACCTGGAGGAGGAGGGGGCTGGGGAGCCATACTCCTGCATCTGGGAGAAGAGGGGCTTGGGACCTGCACTTGTGTGCTTGAGGGAGGAGGGGGCGGGAACGCCTGGCTGTTGACTCCTTGAGGAGGCCAGAGTGATGACCCCTTTGATGACCCTGGAAGGTCCTCCGTTAGGAGTGGCCACCAGGTTGGGGAGTGGGGAACGCAACCCACGTCCTCGGAGCTGAAACTGAACCTGGGGCCCCTCATCCTTACCCTGGGGTCTGGCAGGTGGGGGGAGCTGTGTGCCGATTCAGGTCGAGGGTCAGTCTCCTGGCCGGAGCAGGCGCATGGTGGCCGGCAACAGCAGGCGGCCAGGGAGGCAGAGGAGGCTGCAGCAGGCAGCGGGCGTGGGGCCTGCTAGGCCTGGCTGCCTCACCTGGGGAGGAGGGGGCCCGAGAAAGAGGCGGGAGGAGGGGCAGGGAGGGGCTGGACATGGGATTGGCAGCTCAGGAGGCCACCTGCCCAGCAGCGGGGGCTGGGCTTATGAGGGCTGCACCAGGCAGGCACAGCCAACCCGACTCCAGACTGCTGGGGGCCCAGGTGTGTCTGTTCTCCGCAGGGAGGTGGGAGCGGAGGTTGGGGGGCCCCCCGGGGCTGGGGTGCTTAGAAGGACCACAGGAGAGAGGAGACAGATGGAAAGGAATCCATAGCAGGACCCTGCCTATCCTAATCTCACTCCTGTTTCTGCTGCCCCTGCCCCTCCCAGCACCCCTGATCACCGGACACACTGCTCTCCTGCCCAGTTCCTAAGCCCTCTGCCGCCCAGCTCCTGAACCAGGCAGCAGCTGCAGCCTCAGTACCAGCCTCCTCCCTGCCCCCTCCCAAGCCCCTAGCCCAGCGCCTTCCCACATTGCCCTGCCACTCCCCCCCTCCCCAGGCCCAGCCACCTCCCGCCACCCCCTCCCCGCCCCCAGCAGCCTTCCTACAAGTCACAGGGACTGGTTTGCTTTGGCAGCCTCTGCTGCCCGCCCGCCTGCCTGCCTGACTGTGGCAGTGACCTCTGGCGCTCAGAAAGTCCTAGATGGGGAGGGGGGGGAGTTGGCTTGGAAAACGCACCACTGCGTGCTGATGTCCAGGCCAAGGGCCGGAGAGCGTCCAGCGACAAACACACACTGTCCAGCCAGCAGTCAAGAGCAAGCAGGGTCAGACCCCAGGGCCAGATAAATATTCAGACCCACAGGGTCGCCACCCACCCACCCACTCGAACTCAGCAGCACCCTCCAGAGAGACTGTCCACACGCAGTCAGGCCCACCTGCTCCTGCTCAGAGGCCTTCACCCACCTGCTCTCTGGACTCCTGCCCGTCCCACAGTCAACCTGCTTCCCCCACAGCAGGCACCCTAAGCACCCAGTCAGAACCACCCACTGGTCCCACAGACTCCCTTCCTGGGCTGACCCATTGCAGCCCCCCTCCCCAAGACAGACTGTGTAGCCTCCGTGCTGCCCAGCCCCCCACCTCCAGTTCTCTTCCTTGCTGAAGATTCATGCTTTTCTGTCTCATCCTTTCCCTCCTGAGACACACACTGCTAGTGACAACATAGACCGTGAACCGGAGCTGCCTCTCCTCCCCGAGCACCCCAGGCTCCCATGCTGGCTCCTCCTACCCACCTTCATCTCCACAGGAGCAGCCCTGCCCCTGCTGAGCTAATGACTGGCCCGACCTGGGAGACTAATCAGCTACACAAGGGGCCTCACCCACTGCTCTCAGGCAGGGGCTCAGCATTCCGTGCTCCCCATCCTGTACCCTTGCTAGTCCCCCTGTGTGCACAGCCAGGGAAATGAAGGCTTTTGAGTTGGGGGGTGGGGTGGGGGTGTCACCAGAGAGACCATCAATCAAGTCCAAGAATCTTTATTTCATGAACAAAACTACTTCTGTAAAGAGAAACGAGGCTGAACGGGCCCCTTTCTAAGTGGCCACAATCCAAGGCTGGTGAGAGAGGGTGGGGTTGGGGGTCTGGCGGGGCAAGGGTGCATCACAGGGACAAGGGACCCCCCCCAGGTCCAGCCGGAGGAAGCGGGAGGGGTAATGTCGCTGGGGGTCAGATGGGGTCCCAGAAGCCCCTGCCCCAAGGGATCCCAGCCCATGGTGCCCCTCCCGCCCCCCGCTGGGCAGAAGAGGGACAGCAGCTAGGGACAGGGGTGCCCTGCAGTGCGAGTCTGAAGCGGCCAATGTGTGCAAATCAGCAAGAGGGAGGGGTGTGGAGCCTCTGCCCCCGCCTCACCCCCTTAAACAGGCAGCAGAAGCGGGGTGGGGGCAGCGGCAGTATTGCTTTACCCATCATGCATGGCGGTGGGTGGGTGATGGGGGCAGGAGGAGGAAGGCTGGAATGGGGGTGCGAGCCAAGCCCCCTGCCCGCCTCCCACCCTGGCGGCTCTGTTGGCAGGACTCTGAGGCGCGTGGAGGCCCAGGAATGGCCAACCCCCATTGTGGGGCAGGGGCAGGCTGTGCCTGGGTATTCCCCATTAGGGCTGGCTCTTCCTTGAGGTGAAGCCCAGGGCCTGAAAAGGCGGAGGGAGAAAGAAGGCATTAGGGACCTCATGCGCTCTACCCAGAGTCCCCCAGCACCCACCCTCCCCATCACGACTCCCATCCTACCTGGGCTATTCAGCCACCTGGACGCCCGTACAGTTCTCTTTGCTTTCTGAGGTGATGGCCAGGTATTCTGAACTGTGGGGACAAAGACCATCATGGTACCCCCTTGGCTGGTTAGACCCAACCCCCACCAGAAAGGAAGGCTGAGACCTGCACCCTGGGGCTCCGGACTCCTGACTCAGGGAAAGGGGAGGACCCTGAGGAAATGTGCAAGTGGGGGCTGGGAGGACAGGGACCAGGACTTCATCCCACCTAGGGCAAAAACCCTCCCCTCTAGGGAGGGCACCCCCCCCTCCCGCTAGCGGCCTGGCTCCCCCAGCAAGTGGGTCCCTCACCTTATCCCTCTAGGGAAGTGGCTCCCTGCCCAGCTGTCCCCCTCCCACAACCTAGTTCCACCCCAGGGAGCCCCTCTCGGGGCACCCTCTAGGGGAGTGTGAAGGCTCCCCAACCAGCCAGCCTGGCCGCCCTCGCCCACAACCCTCCTCTGTGCGAGGCTCTCTCTCCACTCTCCCAGCGCAGCCTCCCCGCCGGCCCCGGGGGAGGCAGCCCCGCCCCCGTCCGGAGGGCCCCGCCCCCGTCGGCGGGCCCCGCCCCCGCCGCACTCACGCATTCTCCTGCGCGGCGGCCTCCGTGGCGGCGGCGGACCTCTTTCTTGGTGGAAACCATCTCGGCCACAAGCCATATGGTCAACACCACGATGAGCACGTACATCATGATCTCGGACACAATGGACGCCATGTCTCTGTTGGCTGCCGGGGGCGGGGCCAGGCAGGGGTTAGGGGCACGGCTGGGGGCCAGGACTCGGGCGGCACCACCGCCCGGCCCCAGTGTGCCAGGAGTTGGCCCTGTGAGTCGCGAGCAGTCTGTCCACCTCCCCGGACCTGTCTATCTGCAGACAGGAATAAACACGCTGCCCCTCTGGAAGATGGGGCGGGGGTGGGGAGGCAGAGGTGCGCACTGGCGCAGTGTCCTCAATGTTACCGTTATCAAGAACCAGCTTCCGCTGGCCTCAGGCTCCCCGGTGAGGAGGGGAATGGGGGCACAGGTTCAGATCCCGACGTTGCCACTTGCTGGCTGTGTGACCTTTAGCAAATGACTTAACGTCTCTGGGCATCAGTCACTGGCGGGCCCCGCGCCACCCTCTCAGTTGTTGGAGCTCATTGTTGCAGCCCCTGTGTGGGAGTCCCTCCCGAGGGCAGAGGGCTGCCTGCTTTCCCTCTGCAGGAGACCAGGGGCTGCCGGCAACTCGGGGCCACTCCCGGCAACCGGACATCGGCAGAGCCGAACTGCTCGGTAGGATTTTCCACGCTGGGACCCTTCAGAAGTAAATCTTTGGACTTGTCTAGAAGGCATTCCTAGGGAGGTCTGAACTTCCAACCTGGGGATTCCTGACCTAAGAAGGTCTTGAGTGGACTCTGGCTCATCGTGACCCTAGGGGGCGTTACCTAATAGTTTTTAGGGGACCAATAGGCAGGTTTACCTTCCCGTCAGCATCTGAGCACTTCACCACGGTGGCACCAGTTTCCTGGCAGATAATTGCCTGCCGCCGTGGAGCTGACCCTAACGGGCTGACGTTCTAGGGCAGAGTGGACTTGCCCCCTAGGGTTTCAGAGACGGTAACTCTCTACTGGAGCAGACAGACTCTTCTCTCTCTCTGACAGAAGCTGCTGCTGGTGTGAACTGCTGACTGCTGACCTTTCCTTCAGCAGCCCAGGGCTTAACCCGCTGTGCCTGCAGGGCACCTTGACCGACAACTAGCCCACGATGAATCAATTCCGATACACAGTGATCCCAAAGAGGATTTCTGGAGCTGTAACTATTTACAAGGAACCCTGGTAGTGTTGCGGTCACAAGTTAGACGGCTAATCTCAAGGTCAGCAGTCCGAAACCACCAGCCACTGCTTGGGAGAAAGATGAGGCTTTCTACCCCCATAAAGAGTTACAACCTGGGACGCACACAGAGGTCGGCCTACCCTGGCCTTTAGGGTTGCTCTGAATCAGAATTGACTCGATGGCACAAAGTTTGGTTTGGGGAAATATTTGCAAGAACAGACAGCCTCCTTTCTCTCCCATAGGACGGCTCGTGGGTTTGAACAGCCACCTTGCAGCGGTTAGCGGTCTAACACGACTCAGTAATGTGTTCTATTATTTGTATTATTATTATATGTTATTATTGGGGCAGCACAGCATCGTGGTCAAGAGGAGAGGCCGTGGGGCCAGCTCGCCAGAGTTTGAATCCCCGCCCCGCCTCTTCCTAGCTGTGTGGCGCTGGACAGAGAAGCTTTGACCCTTTCCCTCAGTGAAATGGAACCCCCTCTCAGAGCTGCCTCCTCCACGTGCTTGGCTGCGCCCTGCGGCTTTCTGGAAGCCCTCCTCCATCTGTTCCACAGCCCTGGCCCTGGCCACCACTCGCTTTCTGTCCTTGAGCCTAAATTTAAACTGTAAAAGGAGCTGGGTCAGCCAGGGGACCGGAACTGACGGCCATCCTGGCATCCCAAGCCAATTCCCCGGATATCCATCCCACTTCCGTGGGCCCTCCTTCCAGACAGCCAGGGTTTCTGCTTCCTTGAATGACAACCCTACCCCCTCCTCAATAGGTGAGGCCCTTCCTGGGCCAGAGTGACGGTGCCTCCATGCTGGCTCTGTCTCCCTGCCTCTCTGAATGAAGACCTGGGGCAGGGCTCCACACGGTGTTCTTTCATTCATTGCTTCATTCATTCATTCACCAAATGTTATGTGTATGCCCCCCCACAGTGAGTGTGTATTCCCGGCCGGGCCCTACACTACAACAAACCCTGGACCTGAGCAACTCCTGACCCCTGGAAATGACCCTGAAGGAGAGAGGCTGGACCTCAGGAACCACACGGAGTACAAGTCATTTGCGTTCCTGCCTGACTCCCAGAACCCTGGGCCCAGGTGGACTTAGGTGCCCTGGTATCTCCTGCACTCTGCCTTCTGCCCCCCAGTGATATCAGGAGAGTGAGGGGTGGGCCATTAGCCCATTTTCCAGAGGGAGACACTGAGGCCCAAAGAAGGCCAAGGACACAAATGTAGGCTCAGAGTTAAGATTTAACCCTAAGTGTGACTGACTGAATAGGCGTTCTGGTGGAATACTGGTTCTGAGTTAGGCTGCTCACCACAAACTCAGAAGTTCAAAATCAACAGCCCCTCCTCGAGAGAAAGACCAAGCTTTCTACTCCTGTAAAGAGTTACAGTCTCGGAAACTGACAGGGGTGGCTCTATCCTGTCTGATAGAATTGACTGGCTGACAGATCCGATCTCTATCTGCTCTGTAAGCCTCCCACAACCAAAGAAAGGCGAGGCCCTGGCTACCGTGAACGCAGTGCCGGCTCCACGGACACACACAGGTGTCGCAGGATGAGGAACTGAGGCAGCAGCGCAGCAGGCCGGCCTCTCGCAGGGCCACACTGTGAGCCACAGGCACCGGGGTGGGGAGGCCTTGGAGTTCTCTTGGAAACAAAAGATCTTTCAACAGCTTCACCCACCAGCCTGGGATCTGGGATCGGAAACCCAGACAGTCACCTCTTGCTCAGACCACAGGCCGGAGTCCTCCCCTCTTTGACGCTGCTTCTCCTAGAGTGCCTACCGCTCACGCAAGTACACCCAAAATAGAATTAACCTCCTGCTCCCCATTCACCTGCGCCTGCTCCGGGGAGGCCTGAGCCCCATCTGCTCCCTACCCCCTGCGGCACCCCTCCCAGGCCAGTCTCATCCTCAGCCCTGAGGTCCATCTGACCCTTTGGAAATGGCTTGGTTCACTCCTTTGGGGTTTTCACCAAGAGGCCATACAAGGCAGTGGGCACTGTGGGAAACGCAGCAAGATCGGAGCTAATAGAAAACACCACACCAGAGTGTTGTGCGTAATGAACAAACACTGCTGTGTGATAAGGGACACGATACATGATACGTTCTGATGGGAAGAGGGAGATATGTGTTGCCATCCTGCTTGGTTTAAAATGAACCACTCCACAGACTGACGAGGATGACACTGCCTTCCAGAAAGAAGAGCCAGCAGCACAGCGTGACCGGCGATCCTTGCGCCAAAGCGCCTTGGACCAGGAGTCAGAGCTGTGACCCCGGAAGTGGTGGAGCAGGGGCAGCCGGACCTGGGCTGGAAGCTGTGGGCTTCCTGGTCCGTGGAAGGAGAGGGCAGAGTACCTTTGGGCAGGAGGCTTGCTGGCAGAGCACTAAAGGGCAGAGCTAAAAGAACTTTGGGTGGGATCCAGGCCGGGGGCACCATGGGGCCAGAGAGAGGGTATGCTTGGGAAGACTGGAAAAAGGAGGCTGTCCTGATTGAAGAACTGTATCCTAGGTGTTCCTGATCCTGAATTGTGGCTGGCTGCTTCCCTAAGCACACCATTCTCCATTCTCGGGAGTGTTGTCTGGGAGTTATGTGCGGCCACTGCCACAGGCTGTCAGCTGAGGGCGCGGTAGAGCCTGCGATGGGAGGGTGAGGCTGTCAGGGTTGGTGAAGGGGCTGGAGGCCGTGTCTGACCTCTGCCTCGCAGGAATCAGGCTGGGCTGATGCTAATGGCAATGGCGATCCTTCTATCTCTTATGAAGTAAGGGGACAGACATCGCCCCCATTCCCATCCCCACGCCACAGCCACAGATGGATGATGACAGAAATACTGTTCCACGTTGGATAATGTTAAAATGCCGCAGTATAACCCACTGCCATCCAGCTGATTCCGACTCAAAGCAACAACCGTCCATATATAGGGTCTTTCTGAGTTGGTAGAGCTTTAGAGGAGCAGGTAGCTCCACCTTTCTCGGTAGGAGCAGCTGGTGGGTTGGAACTGCCAGCCTTGCAGTCAGCATCCCGACACCTAACCACCAGGGCTCTTACTACAGAATGAACCAACCCCACTGCTATCGAGTCAGTTCTGACTCATAGCAACCTTCTAGTCCAGTCTCATGTAGACAGCAAGCACACTCCGTTCAACGCCCGGCTACGGAGCCCTTTCCAACCCTCAGTGCAGTGCAAACATGAACCGCGTTAGAAAGGCAAACTTTCACACTGTGAATGAACGGCACTTGTGAACACACAGACCCTGCCTGGGAAGCAGCAGAAGGCCCCGGAGTGGTGCCAACAGTTTGCACTTGACTAAGGAGCCTAGTGCCATTGAGCTGCTAACTACCATGTCAGCAGTTCAAACCCACCAGCCGCTCTGCAGAACAACGAAGAGGCTGCCCGATCCCTTAAAGACTAAAGTCTAGAAACACACAGGGGCAGGTTCACTTCATTCTGTAGGCCCACTGGGAGTCAGAACTGGCTCCATGGTAATGAGTCTGGAGTTTTCTGAGGTTTGTACTAACCATGGGTCCCCAGTTCAAATCCACTCAGCAGTACACTGTAAGAAAGGCCTGGTGAGCTCGCTCTGGGAGATCACAGACACTAAAGACCCTACACAGCACCGTCGGACAAGGCACCATACGGATGGCCCTGAGTGGGAAGGGACCCGGACCAGGCAGGTGGGAGGCATTGGAGAATGGGACACAGTGGGAGAAGCTCTATAGTGGAAAAGGCAGCTAAGCACAGGGGCTCTGGGAGGTGGTCTGCTACCATTGGGGGGTGGGGGTGGGGGTGGGGCACAGTAGGGCCGGGCTCTACGGGGCTTTTCAAGGTCAGGTTGTGGCGGTTCAGAAGCAGACGGTCATACCTCTAGGTGGATTCAAACTGCCAACCTTTCAGCTTAAATGATGGGACCACCCAGGGACTCAGGAGATAGTATAATATAAATTATGCTAAACCGAAAGAAAACACACAGGTGGGGTCTCCGGGAGGAGATGAGCCAGTCAGGGTGCGATGTAGCAATGATGAAAAATATAACTTTCCTCTAGTTCCTAAATGCTTCCTCCCACCACCCCACTATCATGATCCCAATTCTACCTTGCAAGTCTGGTTAGACCAGAGGATGTACACTGGTACAGATAGGAACTGGAAACACAGGGAATCCAGGGCGGATGATCCCTTCAGGACCAGTGGTGAGAGTGGCGATACTGGGAGGGTGGAGGGAGAGTGGATTGGAAAGAGAGAACCGATTACAAGGATCTACATGTGACCTGCTCCCTGGGGAACAGACAACAGAAAAGTGGGTGAAGGGAGACGTCGGACAGGGCAAGATATGACAAATAATAATTTATAAATTATCAAGGGTTTATGAGGGAGGGGGTCGCGGGGAGGGAAGGGGAAAAATGAGGACCTGATGCGGGGGCTTAAGTGGAGAGCAAATGTTTTGAGAATGATGAGGGCAATGAATGTCCAAATGTGCTTGACACAATGGATGTATGTATGGATTGTGACAAGAGTTGTATGAGCCCCTAATAAAACGATTAAAAAAAAAAAAAGAAAACACAGGTGTGGCAAGCCCTGCCTCTACCATGCAGATGAAGCTATCAGCCTGCCTCGGCTCAACACCAGGGTGAAAAGCTCCGGAGTGACTGAAGGGGCCTCCTGAGCCCCCTACCTACTAGACCCCTCCCCTGGGCCTGGATTCCTGAGAGAGCAATAATAGAGCCAGCGTTATACTGAAATATTCTAGGCATGTTCGTTACGGCCTGGCCCCAGTGGTGCAGTGGGTTAGGCGCAGGCGACTAAGCACGAGGTCGGTGGTTCAAACCTGCTAGCCCCTCCTCACAAGAAAAATGAGGCTGTCTGTTCCCTGCAAAGACTTGCAGCCTGGGAGACCCTATCTGAGAGGCAGCAGTGAGCTTGGGTTTTATTGTGGTAACTGCGCTCCCCTCACCCCCAGCTCACGCAGCCGCTCGGTCTCCCTGGGCTGCGATGACCACCGATGACCACGGCACTCAGCACCCCGCCGGCCAGGGCCACACACACCACTCAAAGGGGTATTCTGCTGTCCCACCTTGATGACAAATGTGGACATGCCAAAGATCAAAAGAATCCTGCAGCAGGCTCTGGCCACCAACGGGCTGCAGGGAGTCAGGCCACAGGCAGGAGTGGCAGCGGCGCAGGTCTGATTGGGTTCAAGCGTTGGTCACCTCCCAGCCTTGGTTTTCCTCATCTCTGAAACGGGGGCAAGCCCAGAGGGTGACTGGGAGGGGCTCCCACATCCACATTCTGCTTCTGGGCCTTGCTGGGATCTGGAGCCCACCCCCCACCCCCACTCTCTCTCCCTCTCAACACCACCTCCCACCACCAGCACCTTCCTACAGAATCAAAGCCTCTTTGCAAATGTACCATTCGCCCCCCAAGCACTGATGTGCACAGTCACATCGTCGGAGTGCCACACAAGTGACACAACATTGTGATCGATTGCTCCCCCCACCAGGGTGAGGCGGGGGAGGCAGGGCTCAGTCTACCCAAATCCAATCTCCAGAGCCCCTGCCACCACGCCACACTGTGAGGCCCTGCCGCACACATGCCAGCAGCCAACACCCAGCTAGCAGCCAACACCCAGCCTTCTGCTGAATCCCCATTGCCACCCCCAGCCCTTATATAGAATGGCTCCAATCGGGGGTGGGATGGACCATTATCATTATCTCCGTCGCCCACAGGCCCCCCTCTGCTCTGAGGCATGAAGGCCACCTGCACTGGTTGTAGAGCTGGGTCTTACGTTTTGCACCCAGAACCCTTATGCAGGGGAGAGCAGCCCGTTGTGACCCCCACCCCATGGCGGGTGCTTAGAAGGGAGGCCTGAAGTGGGGGGTGGGGGTGGAGCCTGGTAGGTGCCGTGGGCAGTTGGCTGGCCCAGGCTTGCAGCCAGCCTACCTCCACCTGCCATCTGTCCCTCCATCTGGCCCCCGGTGGATGACAGCGGCCAGGGGGCCAGGTGGGGCCCAGCTCACCTTTGTCCACCACCTCCAGGTGGATTTTCTTGACGACGCTGGTGTTGTGCTCATAGTTGTCGAAGAAGAGCAGGCGGTAGACATGGCACTCGTAGTCGCCCGAGTGGTTGTAGGTGACGTTGGTGATGAAGATGGACAGGTCCTGCAGGTCCTTGGTGCCCCGGCTGCCGTTCCACGCCACGCGGCCCTCAAAACGCTCATCCTCCTCCAGCTGCAGCATCTCATTCTCGTAGCGCAGGATCTGGGCACCACGGGAGAGGAGGCTGGTGTCCCCCGCCAGGGTCTGCCCTCCCCGTCCTTTTTGGATTCTTTCCCCAGCCACGACCCAGAGACCACACAGGCAACTTGACCTTAGTCGGCGTGGGGATGGGGCAGTTGGGGTCACTGCCTGAACCTGCCCAAGACCTGGACACGCACCCACAACATTCACCCCTGCAAACACACACTACACAGTCACCCCTAACCCTCATTGGCCTTACTGTCTCCCTCATACCCCCCAGCCGCCAGAGATGCTCCTTAGGCTGGGCTGAGGGCCCCGGATCCCATCTGCGTGAACCTCAGCTCCCCCTGCAGGCTCTCAGGAATGTAGGGCACACCCCCATCCACCATGTGTCATTCAAAACACCCACGTCATGTTGAGAAGGCCACAGACAGTTCTGCTGCTGCTGCTCCACGAGGACTTTGCCAAACCATACCAACGCTTCCTCCTCCACCACCGCCGCCCCCCACCCCCCGCGCCGGCCCCCCCTTGCTATTGTGTCCGTTCCTACTCATGGAGACCCAGTGTGCGACAGAGTAGAACTTTTTTGTTTTCCCCAGTCATCAGTCACCTGCCAGGGCTCGGTTCCTCGGTGCTTGTGGGCGCCCTGCTACCTCCACCTTTTCCGCCCACAGCCCTTTGTTTACGCCACGCAGGGACACCCCCACCCCAAGGCTAGATACCCTGTGCCAGCCGCCTGCTGGGCACATCAACCAACTCCATCAGTCCTCCCATGAGAGAGACCACCGTCCGTCTGTCTCACAGGTGAGGACGCTGGCCCAGAGAGGCCCAAGGACTTGTCCAGCATCCCAACTGGATCACTGGCAGCACCCGAGGTGGAATTTGAATCCAGATCATCCGTAGTAGTAAATTATTAAAAACAAACAACTGCTGCTCTTCGGGCTTCAGCCTCTGACTGTCAGACACACACACACACACACACCTTGACAAACTCCTCCGTGCCCTTCTGACGGAAAGTCCACTCGGTGAAGGTCTCTGCGCTGGTTTCACTGCGCCGCTTACAGGAGATGCACAGGATCTTGAAGGTCATTCCGTACACGGCCTCCGTTTCGGAGTCCACCTCCACGCAGCCCCCCCAGACTGAAGACACTGAGGGGACAGCAGGCTCGGGTCAGACAGGGACAACCGTTGCCCTGGGCAGGGAGAGGCTCCCGGGCTGCTGGCTTTCAGGCCCCTGGGAAGCCATCTGCTCCTCTCCACTCAGAATACGATTGGGCACAAGTGGGCGCTGAGCTGGCCCTGCCACCTGCTGTGTGACCTTGGCAAGCCACTCACCCTCTCTGAGCCTCAGTTTCCTGCTCTGTTATGTGAAGGGCATGATCCTCTTGGTTTCTGTTGGTTACCATAGGTGGGTACAGCCTCAGAGTGGGGGCTGGCACTCAGGGCCCCCTTCTCCCCGGCAGCCAATGGAGCTGTTAGGGTTGCCAGGGACTAGGCCTGCACTCCCTAAGTTGTCCTCCTTCAGTGCAAGGTGGAGGGACTAGCATTCTAGCTGCACTCAGTGCTCCGGGGCAGTCATTTGCTCTGCAAACCATCCTGCCCTGCGAGATGGGTTTGGAAGAAGGGGAATGAGGAGTGGGGGCTGAGATCAGACACTACCCTCCAGCCCTGCTCCCTGCGCCTTCCCACAAATCCTGTGTGACCTAACCCCAAGGTCTCCAGCCTTGACCCTCCTATCTCCCCTTGCCTCCAGACTCCACCCCACTCCTCAGCTTCTCAAACTCACCAAGCCCTTTACTTTCCTGGAGGTGGGGGTGAGGGCTTTGCATCCCAGTCAGATTCGGTCCTAGAGCACCCTAGCTAATGCTTTGCGCCTCTTGCCTTCCGTCTCTGTCCTCTTATTCTTTGGGGCTTCAGGGCCTCCGGCCCTGCTGCCTCTCTGCCGCCCCCAAGTCCCTCCCTGCCTCCTGCGCCCTCATTTCTCTGGAGTGGTCTCTGAAGTAGCGCGGCACTAGGTGTCTCCTCTCCAGCCGCACACTCCCTCGCTCAGACTTCCTCCACCTTTCCCTTGCACCACCACCCCCGCTGCACC